TTGCTCCAACTTCTCTTCCATTCTGCAATTTATTCAGTGTATCTCAAATGGAGCATATCGTCCTTTTATTTCAGTACATGTTAAATGTCACATATTCAAACTCTAGTCCAGTACTATTTATTACAAGAAAATGATGTTCACTACAATCAAGACAATTCCAGAAGTAATAAGCTATGGAAGGGGTTAAAGCCTGTGGTTTATACAGAATTAAGGTTTAAAAATCGGATGGTTTAATTTTTTTCCCTTGATTTTTTAAAAACGGTATAACGTTCACTACAGTTACTCGGGAGATTTCTTAGCTGTCAATCACACCATAATGTGAGTAAAACCATTGCCTGGAAGAACATGCTTCAGCACTCAGCTGTGCAAAACAATGCAACTCTGTCACCTGGAAATTTGTTGAAAATGCCAAATCTTGGTTCCTATCCCAGACACGGACTCTGCTTTCTAACAAGCCGCCAAGGAGATCTGTGTGTATATGAAATTATGAGAACCACAGTTCAGCAGCTGTGAGATATTCCCTCCAGTTACTGCAAGCAGAAGAGAGCTCAAGTTTCTCTCTTGCTAAGCCCCCCACATTACATTCAGTCTCTGTTCCTCACTAATTTCCATTTGCCTTTCCATGATCTTAACTCTGGTGATCCATTCTTTTTATTTCCTTTTATTCATCTTTGCCTGTAAGATGGTTTGAGAAGAACCACTCAGCTCAAGCTCCAAATTCCATGTGGTCTTATTTCAGCTTCATTGGGAGGTTGTCTGGTTTTCTGAAACTGAGTTAAGTCATATTTAAAGTTTCTATGTCAGACTTAGTTGTCAAGCGAGGAATACACCAAAGCTGCTATTGTAGACTAAATCATGAGTTTCCAAAAGGTCTTCCACCTCTCTCTCTCTCTGTCTCTCTCTCTCTCTTTGTGTGTGTGTGTGTGTGTGTGTGTGTGTGTCCCTCCCTGCCCCCTTTGATGTTCTGATCATAATCATTCATAATCATTTTCTTTCCAGCTAAACTAGGTTTGGTAGATGGAAGATTTCGTGAGTTCTTTTTAAATATGAGCTCAACACCAGGTTCTTGGCAATCATTACCCATTCTTGTTTTCAGAAAGCTTTCCAAATTGTGCTTCGTGATTCTCTGCCTCTCCTTCTATTGCCTGTGGAGAACCATTAGGAATCAGGAAGTGACTAAGAAAGCCAATCTTTCTTCCTACCTGGACAGAATCACTTCTTATGTCATAAACAGAAAAATTTTGTTACCTGTTTTCTTAGATTCCAAGTCAGCAACTCTGTTACTATGTGAAACCTTTCTGTAGATATTGCTAACTAGCAATCTCGAGGTAAGGAATAAGAAAAGAGAACATTGAGGGAAGGAAAGGGGGCACTATTAGTATCTTGTCATAATTAACCACGCTCAACTCTGAAATTCAATGATGCTTTAAGTCATTATTAATATATGCTTCAGTAGCCCTTATCAATCTTCCTGCCACAGATTAAGTACAAGAGGAAGGATTACAAGTAGTAGTAACAGAGAAAGAAAATATGACCTGAAAAACATGTGAAATGGAGAACTCATCATCAACAACAACAAATTGATTTGGTGAACATACTTGGGAGGAAAGAACATGAGTACTATGTCATCCACACCCATGTTGACATACTATAGGAATTCCTAGTCCATCCTGTTGAATGTGGTATTATAAATTTCCATTCAAAAACTGAAATATTTCAAAAGATATCCAAGTATCTCTTAATTTGCTAAGGAAAAAGCATTACTTTTTTCATTCTGTTTTGTGTTACCCTTTTCCACTAATTCTAAGATGCTTCAACCATCTATTCGGTTGTACTCTTGTACTGTCTACTTCTGTGGAGTGCTTACTCATTTTTGTGCTCATCTTTATAAACAGGTAGAAGACAAGCTTTTTAAATTATGGCATTGGTAGAAGACCATGTGAACATAAACAAAGCAAAACTCATTCCTGCTAGGTTTTGTTCGTATTTTACTTTAAATTCAACTGCGTTTTCAGACTATGGTAGTTCAGCAGCTTGTTTAGCAATTACTTTGCAATGGTCCTATCATTGTTAAAATTAAATGAATGGGGTCATATGAACTTAGTGATGTGTGATATTCATATCACAGCTGACTAAAATTGTGTGGGAAAGAACAACATGACTGCAGAACAAGTACTCCCAAGATTAAAATTGTAGCAGGTACGCTGGTTGGCATCTATTTTAGCAAATAAAATGACCGCAGTCTTTGCCTGTATTAGGTACTGGATTCCTACAGATGGAAAACAGAAAGGAATTATATAAGTGAATCTGAGCAAATAAGTGAATCTGAGCTGATAAGGAACCAAGAGAAGAGAATTCTCCTTCGGGTCACTGAGAAATGAAGAAAGGAAAATAGACACATGTGTACTCATTATACACATACATAACACATATTTATGTAGTTCAAATATCTCTTCACTCTTCTCGACAATCCACTACAATAAATCTCACTATATAGCAATTCTCATCACCCATCTTGGTCCGTAAGTTATATTGTTTTTAATAACAAATCCAAGCAAGGAAGGTAGAAAAATATTCTTTTGGAAATATTTTCAGTGCAATCCTGCGCTGTATAAATAATTCAAATCTAATCACTCGTTCATATTTTGAATCCAGAAATACATAAACCATCAATTTAGTGTACCCCTAAAACATAGCATTAATTTTCAGAATAAAAATCTGTTATAGAAGGTTCTTCCCTACAGAAGCCAGAAACAGTCGACAAAGTCAGACAGATGACAATAAGAAATAAATATGTTCACATACAGATCATTCTGCCATGTCATTTTAAGATTTCAGACCAGTCTGAATTCATCAACAGGCAAGAGAGCTTACAACGAGCTTTATGAATTGCATTCTCATTATATTGGCTTTGCCCACAAGTCTTGTACCCCAAGACCTCTGAGGGTGGTTTCTCCCAGCTGTCCTAGTCTTAGGGCAGCATCTGCTGGTTAATTCATGGATGGACAAAAAGTGACAATTTGTGAACAATATGAACATTTCTTTTAGTTGGAGGTAACTGTTGCCTTGGTGACTGTAATGTGTGAAAGGTCATCTCTTAATGATGATCACCCCAAGTCTCTAGGAGCCGGGCAAGTCTATGAGCTGAAGAAAGTCTTTGTATAAATATATGCTTGCTGGAGCCCAAGGTGGGCTGGACAGGGACTTTGGAAACATCTCTCTAGAGATACATTTGAATATTCAACACTGGACTTACTTGCCGATACTAAGAATCTAGTACCAACAGAGGTTTCAAGAACAGAAACCCATAATAGTTAGGAAGTAAAGCTTAATTTCCTTCAAGTAAGCTTCCTTGGAGTGTACGGGGGAGCTGAACATTGAAGCAGCCACTGCCTGCTCTTCTTCTAACATATCCTATGTGTAACTCTGATTTTATACACCAGGAAGTACGCATTCCATTCGAACACAGCACATCTGATTGGAATAAAGCAACTGGAAATTAAAAAGGACTGGTGGTCTAAAACTCCAGAGCTCTCCACCATCTTCTGCAACATCCCTCTGTCTCTTCCCTGCAGTCAATAGCGCCACTTCCAGGGCCAGTGACGCGGTTGGTGGGTTCCATTGGTAGGAACTCTGGAGGGAGAGTAAAATCATGATGTCGCTGCCAAAACGGCGAAACCTGAAAAGCGTCTGGGGACTTCCCAGGGCACTCGCGCTCCTCGGAGCTACCGGCATCTCCATAACAACTGGTTTTCGCTCTTCCTCGGCTCCACGACTCCGCGGCGCAGGGGAAGCCGAGGATAGGCAAAGGATCGCTCTAGTTAAAAGATACCTGGAGCTAGCGCCTCCCAACGTTGGGGGATGTGATTAACAGTTCATTTCTAGAGATTTCCGGAGTTTTGCCCAGGACTTCAACCCAGCGCCTCGCCCTTCCCCCACTGCGCCCCTCCCCCTCCGCATCCGCCTTTCTCTTTATTTTATACAAGCACACACGTAAGCACACTGGGGGTGGGGGAATTTATTGTGCCTCCTTCTTGAAGTTCATCTTTTTCCTTTCAACTTACTTTCCGCCAACACGTGACCTCTCCCAGCCTGCGCAGTCACTGGTGGAAGTGTTGTGGCCAGTGCGGGGCTTCCTGATAGAACCCCCTCCCGGTACTCGCTTCCGAAGCCCACCTTTTTGAGCGTGGCACCAGCTCTCAACCCCTGCTAACAGGAGGTACCTGTGATAAGGCAGCATATCGAGGAAGGAAGCTCCGAGCCGACGTGAAGCCCAGAGCCTAGCACCGATCACCCCCCTTACACAATCCCCCCAGCAAGCCCCAAGCCTTTCCCCTGCGCTAGGAGCCTCTAGAGCTTGCGGGGCGGACCTAGCTGCACGCAGGGGCTGCTAACTCGCTTTTGAGAAGCCATAAGCCATTAGAGTAAACGCAGTCATAACTTCATTCAACTCAAGCCGCTTGAGAGCTCGGCTTACACAGGTTCCTGCGGGCAACTAGTGGCTCGCCCGGGTGCCTCTCGCCTAGTCATCAGTCCCTAAGAGGAAAAGGGAAAGTTACCGGGCTGATGCGCTCTTCCATGCACGCAGTTGTTCCTTAGGACAAGTCACTCCCGCTCCACCACCACCCTCCCCCAATTGGATCATCACTCACGACCACGTCCGCTGGAGACCCTTAGTCATGGTGGGGGAGGGGGAAGGGCATGAACTTTTCTAAGAAGTTTCCTTTTTACCAGGGGAGTCACAGTGAGTTGGTCACGTAATCAGCTCAGAGCGGCTGTCCTTGCCCCCTCCCCTCGCCCCCTCCCCGTTGCGCGTTTCTGGTATTCTTATTAAAGCGGTAGCCCGCTGGTGCAGAAAAGCAACAAGTTCCCCAGCGGTCTTCCCGCCCTAGTCTGACAAGGCGAAGGTTTTCTTACCTGGAGACAGGGAAATCTCCTGAGCCGAGCTCATCTTTGCCAGAGCCCCGGGTATGACCTGAGTAGTGGGCAAAGGAGCGGTGTGCAGACTGAATTATTTTTATGGGGGTACTCTGAAACTCCCTCACTTTCTCTGGGAACTTTTTGTGCTAGGACGCAGTGACAGGCGGCGAGAAGGATGCTTGAGAAAACACTCGCTATATAGCAGGGCAATTGGACAGTCATTGGTAACCTCGCTCATTCATTAGAATCACGTATGAACTCAAAGGGAAACGTGTCTCTCAAAACGAGGGCGTTTGCGTAAATCTATAGGTTTTCAACATCGATGCCAGTTGCTTTGTCTTCTGTATTCGTCAAGGTGGTTGAGAGTTTAAGCTTGCGGATATTGCAAAGGGTTATTAGATTCATAAGTCACACCAAGTGGTGGGCGATCCACTGAGCAAAGCCGAACTTCTCACATGATGACTTCAAACAAGACACATTACCTTCCAGCATCTGTTGGAGAGACGAGATTTTAAGACACTGAGTCTCCAGGACAGCAAAGCCACAATGGTGAGTAGCAATAAACCCTGCATAATAATTGAAAATCTTGACATGTTGCCTAACAACAGGAATATCACGGTTCTTCCTGGCACTTCACACGCCAAAGAACAGCAGCTATCCAGGCCAGGGGAATCGGGTTTTACCCACTGCAACTTTAATTGGAATCATTTGAGATTTAACACAGCAGTGTGGAACTGCGTGGAACAAACTTGGAACTGGAGGGGGTTGTTATACTGGCTGTTCAAAGCTGACGCTTGTCTGCCAGCCGTCTTGTATTCCATTCTTTGCTTTACTGTATGGTGTATGAGCATATTGTATGATTTATATGTGGGCATGTAATTGACATCCGCAAAGGGGTTAATTTCCATCTAAAAACAATAATGCTGTTATAGGTTGGGGTTGGGAGTGGAGAGGGTAAGAATTGGGTAGAGACTAAGAGTTAAGGTGGAGTTGGGGGAGAGAGGAATAAGCCAGAAGTCCCTGTCATCGATAATAAAATGGGTAATGCTCTCATACATGAAAAGGGTCTCATCAACATGTGATCAACTATTAACAGGATGGCTTTGGCAAAGCCATCCGCACGTGACAAAACGTAAGGAAGTGGAAGAAACCGACTAGAGCAATATCAAGTACCACTTAATTAGAGATTTTTTTAGCCTTTTCCTCCTGCTGCGCCGGGTGTGTGATCCGGGCTAGCAGAGTCCATTCAGCACCTTGGACAGAGCCAGCGGATTTGTCCGAGGTGGTAGTACTTCATCCAGGTATTCTTTTCCTCGCTGTCAAGCCAACCCGGTGTCGCCCTTAAAAAGCGTCTTTTCCGAGGTTCGGCTCACACTGAGATCGGGGCTGGAGAGAGAGTCAGATTTTGGAGCGGAGCGTTTGGAGAGCGAGCCCCAGTTTGGTCCCCTCATTGAGCTCGCTGAAGTTGGCTTCCTAGCGGTGTAGGCTGGAATAGACTCTTGGCAAGCTCCGGGTTGGTATACTGGGTTAACTTTGGGAAATGCAAGTGTTTATCTCCAGGATCTAGCCACCGGGGTGGTGTAAGCCGCAAAGAAGGTAAGCACCGGGGCGGGGACCCTGCATCCCCAATTCTTGAGCTATTTTGATACTCGATCTTCCGGAAAGGACACGTAGTGGAGCGGAGGAAGTGGAGGGAGAGCATGAGAAAGGGTTGTTTCTTGGTATTTGCCCAGTTTAAATTACCCTAGGTGAGAACCTGGGGGCAAATCGAGGTGGGGGAAGCTCAACCTTCCTGCGGATATAGTGAGTTTAGTTAACTTGGAACCGCAAATATCTGATTCAAATGTAAGACCTCTCTTAGTCCCCCCCTTCCCCTCCCTCTTTTCCGTTCTTTTTGCTTGTGTGTGGTGTGTATGCGTGTACAGTAGATTCATTACTAATTATGAAGCTTTTACACAACATTCGATTTCCTAAAATGTGACTTTGTACCATTTAAAATCAGACGATGGAGGGAGTGTGCAGTGGGAAAGAGGAGGTGGAGGCTGGAAAGAGGGAAGGAGGCTAGCTAAATACCCACAAAATGAATCAAGGTAATTTCAGCTCCTCTAGTGAGGAGGATTCATTCTCTCAGGATCCCTGCCTCCCTCTCTTCCCCCTCCCTCCCTCCTTCCCGCCCCCCTTCTTCCACCCCGCCCCCTCCTCCTGCCTCCATCCCTCCCTCATTTTCTCTCTACCTCTCCTTAGCCCTCGCGATCCTCGCTGGATAGTTCTTTATGTTTTGGGTTTTTTGTTTGTTTGTTTGTTTGTTTGTTTGTTTGTTTTTAATTTTTTCCCCTTTCTATCTTCCCTCCCGAGAGTTCCGGGTTCTGGCTTGGAAGGCTCCCGCTTTCTCAAGGGAAGGGGAGCCGCTGAGACTGTGCTCCACTCCCTGCCGGGCCGGATGCCTCATTGAGCCCAGGTCCGAGTCAGTCGGGGTAACTCAGGGAAAGGGGGGCCTCCGCTCGGGAAGTGGAAGGTCCTTTCTGGATCCAGGAGTCCGGGAGCGGCCCGGGGAGGGGGCCTGGGAGGCTAGCGGAGGTGGAGAATACTCGTAGCTCCGTGCGGCGGCTGGACAGAGCCACCAATCAGCGGGGCGCGCAAAACGCCCAGTCGGGCGAGGTTGTGTCCACTGACGCCGGTGGAGGGCCTAGGCTCTCCGCCGAACTGCCGCCACCACCTGGGTGGGCTGGTAGCTTAGCAGGGAGTGGAGATGGAGGGAATGGGGGTAAGCTAGACGCGGGCTGGGAGCCGCCCAGCCTTCTCCTCCAACTCCCCTGCCCCCGCCTGCGCCCCCGGGGGACCTAGAGCGCCCAGAGCGTGCTGCCGCGCTGTCCTCCAGCTTCTCTTCCGGGAGTTCAGGGACTTGCGCGCCCCTGGGGGAGGGGTGAGGGCACCTATCCACACTCCTACAGCCCTCATTCCCACCGCTCCCATGGCCCTTTGTTCAGGCCAGGAGCCTTGCCCTGCCGCAGCTTTCTATCCAAGGCTTGGTGCCTCCAGACCCCTCCCCAAATAAGGCTTGGGATGTGGGTAAGGGACGTTATTTGGGGAGGGGGACGATTTATGAAACTCAAGATTATTTTAAATGAAGGAAAGAATTCCAACTCTGCGCAGGTGGAAATGATGGATTCATAGGCGATGTGAGGATATTGTGGAAATTTGGGGGGGTGGGACAGGCAGTTGGATCAGATGACTGCCCATAGGCTGTTCGCCACACAAAGGGAGCGTAGGGCAGGGTTTACGGATCAAGCCTGCAGCGAATGGGGCACAGACAGTTCCGGGATCCAGGCGTTTTCTCAGTCAGATCTACGTGAAGGGAGCGGAGGGGAGGGGCCGGGAGGGAAGCGTGGCGGGAGGGGCCGGGCTTGGGGGCGGGGGGATTTCGGATCAGTCTGATGCAATTCCAAGCGTGCTGCAAAGGAACTCCAAGGCGCCCGCATCACCATCGCCACCCACCCTTCCCAGATGGTGCTGTTTTAAATACGGATCTGCAGGGCTGAACGCAGAACTGGGAGATTTATTGCAAAATCCTGAGAAGGGGGGCCGGGGACAGGGAACCAAGGGACAGAATTTAAAGGTGCAACGCCTGCTTTTCCCCAACCCAGCGGCAACCGGTTGGATATTTTTTTTCTTCTTTTCTTTTTTCCTTCTTTCCTTCTTTTTTTTTCTTTATGTCTGCCTATCTTTGGATCTAATTCACTAAGGAAGAGGTGTAAATATTGTGACATTTCGAGGAGGCTTAATGGATAGGGGGAAAAAATCATCTGTCATTCCAAATTGCAGAGTTTTCCTCCCGCGCCATGCCTTGCTTGCGAATACTTGGGGCTGCCTAATACAGTTGCTAGGGTTTTAGAGGAACGCTTCGTTAAGGGAATATTATGTTTTTAGTCCACTTGACAATTTGTCTGGCAGTTGAACGGAGAAAATTGTAGGTATCATGTCGGTGGGCGGCAAGGGGGGAAAATACTTACCAGTCTAATTATTTTAACCTTGGTATTTTTTTAACAACTAAATACGCCTCAAAAGTGTCACGTCATCCTCTTACACCCAAGCATCCTTGACTTGTAAGGAGAGATGGTTTCGACTGTCACTTTAAGAATGGTGCCCCTGGAATTCACTATTTTTATATATTAACATAAAAGCAAAGAATTTCAATTGTTCTTTTGAGAGTCAGAAGATTAAAGATGGTAGTAAGTAAGTGGAGAAGGAGGGAGAAAGAGATGGGGAGAAAAAAGGGGGAGAGATTTTGACCTTATCATTTTAATATTAACCTACATGTCTGTAGGTTAGATTTTTACCTTGTTAAAAACTCCCTTAGTGGGATGTATAAGTACTGTATCAGATGTAAATACGTTCCACTTTCATCTTGCCAAAACCTTTTCCAGTATTGATAATAAGACCCACAACACAGCAAATTTTAGAGGACAGGGGGGGAAAAAAGCTGTCTGAATAGGCTTTGCAAACTGCCACTCCAGAAGTGGGCTACATCACTATGCCTTCAGAGTTTGTACTTGATTGAACCAGAGCCCTTACTAATTAAGAAGATCGTCTCATCTGTATGGTCAAGGCAGCAAATGGAGATTGTTAAAAGCAAGTGATTAATTGACTTGCTAAATATTGTCAGTTATCTATCAGTGTGAACTGGAGAGACGCTTTGAAAAGGATCTACCTGTGTAAGCTGCAGCTTTCATTTGCACTTTCCCTACCGAGTCTTTAAATTCTTAATGAGAAAAGCTGGTGAATTTAGCGACTTTCCTTTTCCTGGCCTGTCTTCTAGGGGAAACTTTCATAAGAATCAACACCAGCAATGAGAGAGAATACAAGACAGTGGGTAACCACACAGCAGAAAAGCAGCCACAAAAGTCAGCAAGTGGATTGAGGCAGTTCAAACTAAAAAATGACTTACAAAAGGTGGTTGGGTTTTTTTCATTTATTCTGTGATCTTGAGGCCATGCTCCAAATCACTCAGATAGCATTCATTTGGTCACAATACTTCATCTGTTAGATAAAATGATGTCCTACTGAAGAGGTGGTTTTCTTACTAAATACATTCTTCTACGTAATTTTTGCTTTTAATTAGAGCAAACTTGTCCAACCCTGCAAGTGATTCTAGTGAATATAAACTGATATCATCTGATATAAAAACTCTGCTGAAAACTAAATTTGTACAGAACAGCACTGACTTGCCAGAAAAATATCTATTTTTGTAGCTTTTTTTCACTCTATGGATAATTTAATGAGTTGCCTATTTTAATTTTACAACTGCTACCTCAGAAGTATCTCAAATTATCTTTCTTTTGCTGATTTTTTTTCCTCTGCTGATCTGTTCGTGGTGTGTCTCTCTGTGTGTGTATGTGTGTGTATGTGTATTTCTAGTGGGAGTTTAACAAGCAGCTAGTCTCTTAAAATTACATACCGTAATCCCCATAAAGAACACTGTGTAGTAGTTAATAATAAAATAAACATTAGCATTCAGTGAACGTTTACCACGACTGAGTGCTGTGGAAGTG